CTCACCTTCCTGAGCCCGCAGACAACTTGGAAGCCAGTGGGAATGCCTGCCCCCCCACCTTCTCCATTGCTACTGCCATTACTACCCCCTTCCCTAAACCCCTTCCCAGCACCAACTGCATACCCTGCTCTGGTCTATGCACCTACTGAGCACCAACTGCGTACCCCACTTCAGGCTGAGTGATGAGTGATGACTGCATACCCACTTTGGGTCAGGCAATGGGCACCGACTGCATACCCTGCCCCCACATAAGCACCAACTGCATGCCCTGGTCCAGGCTGGCAATGAACGCCGACTCAGCCCTCTCCTATGCCTGCTTGGTCCCTTCAAGGCTGGCCCCACTGAGAACCGTTTGTGCCGTAACCTTAAATTTCACAAGCCCCCAAGAGAGGCCAGCAAGAGGCAAGCGGGACGCGGAGGGAGTGTATCGCAGAGGAAAGAGACTCCTGGTTCCGCTCTCTGGCTTCATAACCCTGAGCCATATTCCTGTGCCATTCGGAGCAGTATGCTGACAGCACTGACTCTTTCTGTCCTCCTCACCTGCACCCTGGCCCTGGGAGCCCCAGTCTTCACAGGTAAGCTCTGGCTTGTCCAGCCTCAGTTTCCCCCATCTGCAGATAATCAGACTCTGAACTCACTGCAAAAGGGGGGCTGTGTCCTCTGTACGGATTTTTGACGTTAAAAGAAACTTACACGTCCAAGAGCTAATCCTCTCCATATATAAAGAGCTCAACAAATCAATAACAAAAGTAAAGTGTTTAATAAATGGAGCTGTGTTAATTTCCTGTGTCTGCTGTAACAAAGTACCATAAACTGGGTGACTTATACTATAGAAATGTATTGTCTCACAGTTCCGGGGCTAAATGTCCAAAATCAAAGTGTTAGTTTTCTCGATTCTTTCTGACGCCTCAGAGTGAGAATTCTGCCCCGTGCCTCTGTCCTAGCTGTGGTGACAGCAGCAATCACTGGCATTCCTTCGCTTATAGACACGTCCCTCCTCCTCTGCCTCCCTGGTCACATGGTTGTCTTCCCTCTGGGTGTGTCTTCTCTTTTATAAGGACTGGATTGGCTTTATAAGACTGGATTGGGGCCCACCCTGCTCTAGTATGATCTCATGTTAATTTAACAAGGTCACAGTCACAGGTCCCAGGGGTCAGGACTTTGATATGTCCTTTTTTTTTTTTTTTTTGGTGCTTTGGATGAGGGTTTACAGAACAAGTTAGTTTCTCATTAAACAATTAATGCACATATTGTTTTGTGACGTTGGTTGCCAACCCTGCAGCACTCTCACCTTCTTGACCTTGAGCTCCCCATTTCCATTTGTCCAGCTTTCCTGTCCCCTCCTGCCTTCTCGTCCTTGGTGCTGGGCTGGTGTGCCCATTTAGCGTCATATGCATGGTTGAGCTGCGTGTGTTATTGTTTGTTTTATGGTCTAATCTTTGGGGGACGCAATTCAAGCCATAACAGGGACTATTATTATTGTCATCCTCACCCTCGTTGTTGTTACTGAGTTTGCACTGACCGATATCTGAGGACAAAGAAGCCATTCAAACCTCCACAAAAGGACCCTTCCAGGTTTGCAGTCTGGGAGTCCTGGGTTTAAGACCCTCTGCTGTGAGGCCTCTGACAGACCAGCCCCCGTCTCCGGACCTCAGTTTAGGGAATGGAAATGCTGACCACCCCTCTCCCCCAGCCCATCCCTCAGGGCTCCTGTAAGTGCGGTTACTTTGGACAAGAAAGAAGAACGGTTATTTGTGAGTGTGGAGTGTGGTTATTTGGGACAACGAAGAACGGTTGTTTGTGGAATTTCACAACTGCTCTCCCAAAGGGGAAGGAAACAGGCCAGCTCTGGGTGGAATTGGCCCCCACAGTGGCAACAGGAGCTGGTCTGAGGCTGCAGCCCCAGCCTGTCCTCCCTGGCTGTGTGACCTCAGCCAAGGCATTAACCTCTCTGAGCCTGTTTCCCCCTCAGTAACATGGAGAAAAAAACAATACCACCCTCATCAGTTGCTACGAGGACTCACGGATGTTCCCACCCTGGTCCCCGGGACGTGTGGACATAGTTCCTCACAGAGGGGTGAAGTGAAGGGTCTTAAGACACTACATGATCCTGGATCACCCAGGTGACCCGTGTGACCACAGGGTCCTCATCAGAGGGAGGCGGGAGGGTCAGAGTCGGAGGAGGAGGAGATGTGAGGACAGAAGCAGAGAGAGAGAGACTGGCAGACGCTCAGCTGGTGGCTCTGAAGACGCAGGAGCGGGCCACGGGCCAAGGAACGCGGGGCCTCTAGAAGCTGGAAAAGGCCAGAGATGGTTCTCCCCTGGAGCCTCTGGAAGGAGCCAGCCTGCTGATGCCTTGCCTTTGGTCCAGTGAGACCCGTGTGGGACTCCTGCCCCCAGGGCTGTGAGATGACAGATCTGTGTCGTTTTAAGACACCAGGTTTGTGATCATCTGTTGCAGTCACTTAGAATGTGGCCGGCACGTGGCGAGTGCAGTCACAGGCCCCTCAAGGGCCTCGTCCGCTTAGCCTCCACAGGCCCCCTGCGCAGCGGCAGCAGGATCATGGGGGGCCATGAGGTGGTGTGCCACTCCCGGCCCTTCATGGTGTCCCTGCAGCTGGACAAAGAGCACATCTGCAGGGCCGTGCTGGTGAGCGGCCAGGGCCATCCGAGGGCGGGCTGCGTGTTGGGGGAGCTCCAGCCGCAGCATGCTCTCATGTGCCTCCCACAGCAGGAACCTCAGTGCCTTCCGAGTGGTCCTGGGAGCCCATGCCCTGCAAATGACAGAGCCCAGCTGGCAGGGCTGTACTCGAGAGGCCCGTGCCCTACCCGCTCTGCGATGCCCAACTTGACACCCATGACCCCCAGCTCCTAAGGGTGGTCGGGGTGGGCAGAATGGGGCGGGGCAGCCCAGGGTGGAGGGAGGGAGCCCAGGTCAGAGCCTGGTGCCTAGGGAGGGGGCATGTGTTACCTGTGCCGACGTTATTGCTGTTACTACTACTACTGTTCCTATTTGCTCTCTCTGTCTCCCGCGTCCCTGCCTCTCCCCCATGTCTCTCCTCTCTGGGTCTCTCCCCTCCCATCTCTCCTCCCCCACCTCCAGCTCAATACCTTGGCTCAGCTTACCAGCTCCGTTGGCCCCATGCCCCCGCCCAGCCGGAACCGCGCTCTGCACCCAGGCACGTGGTGCCGGGTGACGGGCTGGGGTGACACCTCGGGCAGCAAGGACCTGCCGGCAGCGCTGATGGAGGCCATCGAGGTCATCGAGGCAACGCATCCTGGGGAGGGGCCCTCGTGTGTGACATGCTCTGCGCCTCGGCTCCCTCCGGGGACCGCTGGGGCGTGTGCAGGGTGAGCCCGGCCAGCCCAAGAGTCCCAGAACCCCAGCCTGGGGGGACAGCCCGCCGTGGCCCCACATCTCAGTGATGGCTGCGCACTCCACAGGGTGACTCCGGAGGCCCCTTCCTCTGCCGAGGCCAGTTGCAGGGCCTGGTGGCTTTCTCCTCCAGGCTGTGCGGAGACCCCCACCTCCTGGATGTCTACTCCCGCGTTTCCACCTTCTTGTCCTGGATCAGGGACGCGCTGCTAACGGGGGGTGGGGGTCTCCGACGTCAAATAAAGCCTTTCTAAGCCCCGCGGTGCCCCGACCTGTTTCCTCTGAGCCGCACCGCCGTCCGGCAGTTCCTCCCTGCTCTGCGGCCTCCCTTGGCTCCCTCTGCCTCTCAACCCCCATTCCCGGCCCTGAATAACTTGCCCCTGTTGACCTCTGAGCCTGTGGGCCATCAGAGCCTGCGCTTCAGCCCTGAACCCAGAGTGGCTGGCTTGCCCGCCCCTGCACAGGTGTTTGCACCTGCTGGGGCCCCCGCCCAGAGCACCCTCCCCTCTCTCTCCTCCGCTGGTTCCCCGGGGTCAGGTTAGAAGTGGCCTCCTCTGGAAGCCTTCCCTGATCTCCACACCGGGTCACGTACCTTGGAGGACGTGCTCACGGACCCTGTGTTCCCGTGGTAAGAACAACAGCCAGAGGCCAGGACAGCCTTCTCTACCGGCTCGAGGGAGCCGGCCCTCCGTGCTCTGGCCCACCTCCCTCACCTCCTCTCCTCGTTCAGCAGCTTCCCGCTGGGAAACTGACATTGGCAACAGCGGGAATGTTTACACCACGGGGACCAGCAGACGCTACAGGGCTGTGGCCGGGGCTGTTTCCCCAGAGATGGCCGTTCAGCACTGGCCAGCCCGCCCCGCCAGCCACAACACCCATGGTGACAATGACCGTGTGTCTGGCTGCCTGCCCTGTGCCATGTGCACGCCAGCTCGTTTAACCCGCGACCACAGTAAAATCCCCATTTCCCAGGTGGAGGCGCTGGCTGAGGCACAGCCCGTGTCCCCCGCCTTCTGCACTTTGTCTGGCCCTGTGCCCCCTCGACCCCCACAGAATGCCAGCACCATGGTGGGGCGGTGGAAATCTAGCCCAGGGCTGGTATACAGTTGGTGCTCAATAAATGCAACAAGGCAGCAATAATCCTAGCTGGTCCCTCATTGTCCTCACCGCCCTAGGTCAGCGCTGGGGTTGCAGATGGGGGAAACTGAGGCTCACCAGGGCTGGACCCTGAGCAGGTGCAGAGCCAACCCCTGCACCCTCAAGACACAGCTATGCAGTTATTGAGCACCGACTGTGTGCCGGGCGCTCTGCAGAGCTGTGCAGTGGGGCAGATGCTGGGAAACTGAGGAACAAGAGGTTAAATGACTTCCCGAGACCGGCTCTCCCCCGCCCCTTGCCAGTTCAGGCCCCGTGTGCTGTTGCTATTACCATCCAGGATGGCCCGAGACAGCCGCTGCTGGGATGGTCGGGTTCCCCCAGACCCGTGCCTGGGAACTGGGTGGGGCTCGCAGAGCCTGGCAGCCGACCTCAGACCACAGCCCCGTTGTTGCCCCTTCCGGGACGTTGGGAAGGGGTGGGGGCCTCTGCCTGCAGACCTCTGTGGAGACACTGCTGGTGACAGGACATGAGGCCTGGGATGGGGGGCTGGGGCTGCCTGCTGCTGACTGTGGCCGAGGCCACCCTGGTGCTGCTCACGAGGCCCCCAGGTGAGGACCCCCTGGGCACCCCCACCTCCCGGCCCTCACCTGGGCTCCCCTCAGACCCTCATCCTGGGCCCCCCCAGCACCTCCCAGACAACTCCAGGTAGCCTGGAACTCCTATACGGGGCACTCCAGGGCCTTCACCCAGGGCCTTACCCAGGCACCTCCCCAGGTAGCCCCCAGTGCCCTGGGACTCCCGTGCAGGCACCCCAGGGCCTCTACCTGGCACCCCCCAGGTGACCCCCAGTAACTCTGGACCCCCACCTGGTCCAGCCACTTAGACTCTTGCTGGCTGCCCTCTCAGGACTCAGCTGAGAACGGGGGGAGGCCCAGCTGGGGTCAGAAAGACCCGGGTTTTCTGGGGTCTAGAGTCCTCTCCCCACACACTCGGGGGGTTTCTCTTGGCTCCTTAGTCTCCAGCTCATGCTCTGTGTCTCTCTCTGTCTGTCTGTGTCTCTCTGTGTCTCTGTCTCACCGTATGTCTCTGTCTCTGTCTCTCTGTGTCTCTGTCTCACCGTATGTCTCTATCTGTGTCTCTCTGTGTCTCTGTCTCCCCGATGTCTCTGTGTCTCTCTGTGTCTCTGTCTCCCCGATGTCTCTGTGTCTCTCTGTGTCTCTGTCTCACCGTATGTCTCTGTGTCTCTCAGTGTCTCTGTCTCACTGATGTCTCTGTGTCTCTCTGTGTCTCTGTCTCCCCGATGTCTCTGTGTCTCTGTCTCCCCGATGTCTCTGTATCTCTCTGTGTCTCTGTCTCACCGTATGTCTCTGTGTCTCTC